TTCAGTCCACTGGAACTGGGTGACCAATGTAAATAAATAAAACCAAATAAATAATTTTTTAACATAAGAAAATGAAAATGTAGACAGCTTGAAATACAATACTATAATTCAAATGTCAGGTTCGGAATGCTGTTTCTTTTTCTTTCTTCTATTTAACTTTCTGCCTATTGAGCCCTCAAGATGGTGAATAAGTATTTTTTTTAAAAAAGAAAACCCTTAAATACATACTCACAGTTTAAACTCAGTATCAGCTAGCTCAAAGTAAAAAGGCCTAATGAAAGAGGAAGGTATTAATCCTTTTCCTAAAAGCAGACAAGTGCGGGCTGAATGGCTCCTGAGGAAATGCACTTCAAAACACAGGAACAACCCAAGGAATAGCTTTTTTCCATCTTCCTGATAAATATATTTTCGGAAATGAAGACATTTTTGAGAATGTCTACTGTACTGATTTATTGCTCATGTAGATTCATATCAGGATAGGTGCTTCTTCAGATATATTCCCTCTAAATTTGATGAAAAATAGCAGGTTTGAGGAAAGGACAGCACAGAAGCTTTCATCAAAGAGTTGTAAGAGTTGATGCAGGAGAAATTATTTTCACATAAAAGTTTCACAAACTATATTTTAAAAGTTCTTATTCCCTTGAATTTCTGGAAGGTCAATATGGTATAATACTTACTGATTTGTCCTTTTGAAAAAAATGTAGTTTTTCATTCTCTGATCACCCTGTTTTTATGACAAGTGGAATAGCTGATGGGCAAATTGTTTCCCTCTTGGAAAGATGCCCTTTTCACTGGTTTCAGTGGGACACGAAGATAAGAGGGGCACATTGGTGAGGTTCTGTCATCTCTAGATAGTAGTGGCAGCAATGAGGCTTCGGGTTGTGCTAGCTGGCAGAAGCAAGCTAGCACAGTGCCAAAGAAACAGGCATGCTGCACAGAAAGTATTTGACTTGATAACCCTCTTTTTTAAAAAAGTAATTCCTTGGCCCACATTTAAGCAGTAAGATCTATAAAACCTAAACAAAAAAAAAAAACACTATAGTATGAAGGAACATAAAATGTTTGCTTTTCTCTTTTATGTCAGAGAAAACTTCTATTAAATGTGAGCCCCCCTCTGTTATAAGGGAGAAATGTTTCAGGCACATATATGCTTGTTGTCAGCTCTTTGTAATATTTTATGCCTTATTTATATGACTTGGAAATATGTTTATAATGGGTCATGATGGAAGCTTCAGCGTGCTATTGCTGGACGGCTTAAAATCAATGACTAGTTATCCCCAGGTTTTCATTTGCATTGCTGGATCAAGCAATATTTCCATAATTGCAAAAGAAAGAGAAGGAGAAGGAGAAAAAGAAGGAGGAGGAGAACAAAAAAATATCTTCTTCTTCTTCTTCTTCATCATCATCATCATCATCATCATCATCATCATCTTCATCATCATCATCTCACCAAACTGTGATCATAAGCGTAATTCTAGTTATCCCATGACAAGATTCTAATCATGCTTTCCACTCCCATTAAAAGTTACTTATAAAAAACATTGAATTATAAAAATGTTGTCACATCTTTATAATTCAGTGTCCTTGGTTAATACAGATAGTACTGCAGTTTATCCACTGACTCTAAAACATGTTCGTATAGTACTGTTAGATTCTAATATCACCAACAGTTTTCTGTTAGGTGAATCATCAGCTGTCTCTGTGCAAATAAGGCCATTCTTCGTGTATGTGATGATATTCCAATAGTTCACTCAGATTCAGGAGATGTAAGTATTAAACAATCAACATTTGTTCATTCATTCTGAAACAAATTGGAATATGCCAGAACAGGAAAGAAAGTTATCCTTTCTACTTAATCTGACATCGCAGGGCACCTTCATTTTTATTCAGTTTTAATTTAATCTTGTGCAAACAAGATTGTGGAAGCCAATGTGTTCAGGCAATACCATTAAGCAGTAACAGTATTTTTGTAACTAAGTTACAGTAGACATGAATAAATGTTCTAATAGATATGGTCCAATAGACATGAATAAATGTTCTTGGGCAAAATTCCATCTAAGTCATTAATTAATATTTTCTTCCTTCCTAGCTGTTGGTGCCAATGAAGTTGTGGTATGTTATCTAGCTTGATTGAGGGTAAAAAACACATTCTGGAAAGAGTATGTGAACAGTCTTCAAAAAAACCCAGTTAATTTTGTTTTCTCCTTGGTTGGCTCATATTATAGACAAGTTACTTCTCAAAATTTAGATTAGAGCTTAAATACAACATTCAATTGAAATAAAGCAAAAATTAACAAATATCTTTATTCAAGTCTGTGGCAGGTAACATTTGAAATTTTCCTTAGGTAAGAAATTATTAGATCAGTATATATGAAACATAAATTCATTGGTCCAGAAAAGCTTGTGGATTTCTAATGTCAATATTTTATAGATTGGTAGGCTGATATTTTTGATTAAAGGTCATCTGCAATTCATGAGACTCAAACTTTAAATTATGAGCCAGAGGGAACTCTGAGAGGATTAATTCTACATTAAATAGTTAGACTCCATTGCTTATTTTGAATGTATTTATAACGTCATGAAAACCTTCATGTTTTCTTGGCAACAAAATACAAATGGTTTTCCACTTTCTTTTTCTACCTTCTTCCACAGTGTTTTTCTATCTTCCCAATATAGCCTTGAGATTTGCTGGTAGTCTCCTATCCATGTACATACCAGGCTTGATTCTTTTTTGCTTCTGATCCCAGACAAAATCAGTTAGATATTTAGCCAGACACCTGCTGAGATATTTATTGTTTCCATATTACAGAGAATTTGTTGAGGATTGTTTTTTCAATCTGTCCCTGCTTATAAAGCTAACAATTTTGTTTTTAAAAGGCTATTAAACTAAATATAATGTGTGATCCAATATGTGAATTATTCTAAAATAAGCAGGTGATTGTGGAAAAATGAGCATTGGAAAGAAATGGAAAGGAATAAGTCTTTTTTGCCTTAATGCAAAGTCAAACCCAGGGGAAAAGATCATTATTTATGTAGCTTTGGGGCAAGAATAGCTAAAAGAAAGTAGCACAATTCTACTTGAATTCAACAGTATTGTCGAGTTTTTATGACAACCTATGGATTATTTAATACATATGGAGAAATCTGGAACTATAGACTAAAATAGTATAAATTTATTTAATCTTAATAAAGGAATGCTGAAATAGATTCTCATGCAATATACAATCTACCCAACTTCTGTATGTACTGTTTAGTTTGTATGATCAAAATGATAAACATATTTGATTTTATGCTGCAGCTACTATAGGGCAAAGGGCAGGATCCTGAACTAGGACTGGGAAAGTCCAAGATTATGTCCCCATGAACCTGACTGGGTGGATCTGAGTCAATTATACCTCTCTATCTATTTTATCTTTATAAAGGTGGTAGAGTAACACAATTTAAAAGAAAAATGAAAAAAATAATAATTGTAGCATATCAGAAGGAAAATAGGAAGAAGGAATATTGTGTACATCACTTAGTGTTGTACCATATAAAGATGGGATGTTTATTGAATAAATAATTATCATGAAACAGTGATCAAGTTAGGGCCTTTTCACATATCCACTGCACATTATATCTACAGTTTTGAAGGCATGAAATGATCATGGCTAGAGTCTCAACATGCTTTGTAAAATCGAAGTTACTGGTTGAGATGGACAGATATAGCTGTTGAATAAATAAATATTTCAGAAATTGAAAAATAAAGGGAATTTAGACAACAAATATGCCTATTATGCTTTCCCCACCAATATCTCTCAAATGACAACAGTCTTCTCTTTGATATCTTTCATAGATATCCATCTATGGAAACAAGGTAGATAACCATATTGTCACTATGAAAACCACATGGATGTATCTGTGTAGTCATCAAGTGTCAAAAGAGACTCTGTCCTTACACAAGCCATCTACAGAATTTTATTCAAATTGGCATGGAGACCAATAAATTTGCAATTTAGTGAAAGGCTTTTCTCCTACAATTTTTTGTGCTGCATCTGTGGGTGTCCAAAGGATAACGTGAGGTTATCTGAATGACACTCTCATGGTTATCAGGAAGATTAACATAGTGAGCACTTCTAATGTTATATGCCAGAACAAGTCATACCTGATTCTTTCTAATACTGCTTAGTCTCTCTCTCTCGTTATATTTTGTTTGCAAGTTCCATATTACCATCCTTTATTGCTTACTGTACCTGAGAAAAACTTATTCACCTGCAGAAATGGATCATGATGAAATGTATGATTATTATTTATTTAAATTGATTATAACTGCCCAACTTCATTTTTCACATGTTGAGTTCTGTAAAAATATTACATAAAATATTTGATGGGCCAAGATTCTGTCTTTAGAATACCTATACATAGCACTATTATCACAGCACAATCATTCAAGAAATCTAATTTGTGATCCACACCACTGTGACTAAGAGGGGATTAAAAATATGAGAAGAATAGTTCTATTAAATTCTAAATTCTACTATTAAGACTATGGTTGCTAAATATCCTAAGATGCTGCCATGAAGAAGATGTCAGCCAATTCTCTAAAGCACATGAAGTGAGAACAAGAAACAATGGATAGAAACAAATCAAGTAGAGAACCAAACCACAACTAAGGAGATATTTCTTGTTAGAACAATTGATCACTGGAATGGCTTGCCTTCACAAGTTGTGGGTGCTCCAAAACTGGAGGTTTTTAAGAAGAAATTGGACACAACCATTTGTCTGAAATATTATAGGTTTCCTGCTTGAGCAGGGTGTTGGAATCAAGAAGACTTTCAAGGTCTCTTCCAACTCTGTTATTTTGTTATTTCGTTTATTTGTGATAAAAGAAAACTTAGAAAATTGTTTCTTTAAAATAACTTTATTTTCCTTCCCATTTTCAAGCAGGATCTGCTTGAAAAAAAGATACTAGATAAATGTATATGAAATGCCAACTCTTTAATAATAACCCTCTCTCTTAGGACTACACTTCTTCTGTGGATGCTGAGGTCACAGTTTTTCATGCCTGTTGCCTGTGATGGATGTGAGGTAAGAAATCTTGTTTTGTTCTTTTGTAAAGGAAATCCAAAAACAAGCTATGGTAGTAAAATGTGTTCAATGCACCCTTCATCTTTTCCTGTTGCCCTGTGATGAAGCTCAGGGTAGACTAAGTCAGGAAATTGGAAGGTATCTTTTAATGCATGTTGCTTAATGCTTTTCAAGAGAACACTTTAAGAAGCCCAAGTTCATAGGGCTCATGCCAAGCAAAGATGACTCTGCCTTATCATTTGTGCCATGCAAAGTAAAGAAAAACATTGGACATTTTCATCATAGTATCACTAGCTAAAGCACAAAGTATCTTCCTTATTCTACAGTTTATCGATGGCACACTTTTGTGTGCTTGTTTCTTGTTTCTTCAGTTTTATCTCCTGCTCCTGAAGTTGAAAATCCATCTGCAGAAAGGGTCAGTGTTTCCTAATCTCAGCAACAAAAAGATATGTGGATTTTGACTCTCAGAATTCCCTAGCCAGCATGGGTGGGAGCTTGGTGAGGATATCTGTGACTCAAAGTCTACACACATCTTAAGGCTGCTGAAGTTGGAAACGCTGGAATAGGAATTAGAGCTATGCACTTAAAGATCTAGAGGTTATTGCCATTCTGAGAAGCACTGATACATTCTTTCCACGTTTTCTATTATGAAGTAATAGAAAAGAGAAGAAAATGAACTAGAAAGGAAAAAAGGGCCCAACCTGACTTTCCTATTAAATCTGTAAAATTGATAACTTTATCAAGGTTGAATGTTGGTGGGATCAAGCTGAAAATGTTGGCCAAGTTACATATGGCAGAAAAAAAGTACTGAAGTGGTAAGTTCTTGATTAATACAACTTTTAGTTGAGATGGCTGAAAAAATTGGGTAACAATAGCATTAATTGTCATTTTTAGCCCTTTAGTAATTGAAGTAAAATGATAGAGTGGTAAAGATATTTCTATCATGTTTGTTTTGTCATGGGTTTTGAGAACTAGTCCTATCAGTCTGGAATATATACCAGCTTTTTTTTTTTTACTTAAGATTTCACTACCTTACTAACAGTTTTATAGGGGTGGGGTGGGGTGAAAGACACTTGGTAGAACTTTAAGATTATTAAGTGCTCACTGCTATTCGAATTTGGAACTCTTTAAACATCCACACTACAAAGGTAAGAATAAAACCTAGTTCACTCAAAATCTAGATTATAAAAGCCCTCTTTGATAGTAGCATAGTTTTTTTGTTCAAAGAAATGTCATATTTAATTTAAAACAAATGTATGTCTTAAAAACACCAAAGCAAACTGATCTTAAAAGTATTACAAAAATAAAAAAGATAAATATTATATATATATTTAAATGTAGGAAGATTTCTGTATGAGTGCATGTATTCATTTACTCTTATTCTACTTTAATATGGATATTTGGATATCAGCCTTTTTATTTATAAATATATATATGTGTGTCTGAGGCATAAATGAAGCACTGCAGTCATGTTTTTACCAACAGAGAAAACAACAAACAGGTTGTTTGGAGCTATGGATTCCTAACAGTAGATGGCAGCAAAAAGTCTTCACTGGCTTTTGGTTTTTACACTTTCAAACCAAGACAACTTGCGATGTGAGACTCAATTATACTAGACCCAGTAGCAAAATGCTTTGCTTCCCACCCTATTATTGATTTCATATGAGAAAGATGACTACCTATTTTTAATTCCAATCAACAGTAAGTTTGGCTTAGGGGCTTATCTCAAGGCTTCAAACATCCTATAAAGACACTTTTACGCCTACAGACTCTTTCAATTAATTGGCTTAGTCTCAGTAATGAGTAAATACAGCTGGTGGTGTTAATAGGGAAAATCTAGAAATGAATTACACATTCTAAAATGCAATACTTCTAGGCTGGAATTTTCACAAAACTTGGTGTATCTGATAAAAATAAGATTTAGCACTAGTGACAGTTTATCAAAGAAGGAGGTTGTCAATGGGTATATTATATATGCATGTCTATTATATAAATTGAAACATGTTAGATCTGAATCAAATCATAGCTGTTGAGATTGTAGAAATATACCACATCCAGCTACAAATTAGGAGTGAATGTTTTAATGTTCTCTTAAACAAAAATTAGATTCTGAGTAGGAAATAATGGACTAAACCAATATACTTCTTATTATTTTGCGTGATTTTTTAAAATATAGATGATTCTAAAAACAAGTTGCAGCCTGAAGATGACCAGTCTGCTCTGTTCCACACATTCTATTCCATGAGGAAATTGGCTACCTATGTAATACGTGATTAACAACTCCAAAGTTTAGTGATGTCATGATGTTGGACTTTGAGCAAGGACATCAAGTCCTAGTCTACCTCAGCCACAAAAACTCAGTGAAAGACTGTGTCTGGTCTCAATGTTTCATTTTAACTTACCTCACAATGGTGTTGTGAGGAAAAATAGGAGTGGGGACTTGTATGTTGTCTTGAGTTCCTGATGAACTCAGTGAACTCCCTATTGACTTCTGTTGTGTTAAGAATCAGTCAGATGCTGTGTAAATTTGTGGTCCTATTAACAATTGCCAAGAACAAAAAAAAATAAAATATTATGGGAAGGCAGTAATATGAATCTTAACAATGGAATATTAATATTTTCTGAATTTGGTCCCAGGAATTTGCCCTAAAATAAAACCTTTGTAGTCATCTGTGGTGCTGTTTAAACATTTAGGAAATTGATTTCTTTATAAACTTGCTCACAAAAATGTGGATCCACAGTTCTTTACAATATAGCATTGTCTTTCTTTTTGGCTACTTTATGTTTAACAGCAATTATTATGACATTAACAAGGACAAAAGAAAGCAAATGAATCCATGATTCATTAAGATACAGTTTAGTATGCTTTTGTATTAATCACATCTGTGTGCACTTTCAGAATTTTAATAACCATCAGTATGCATGTAAATTAGACATCTGGTTTACAGAAGAGCAATTAAACACCAGCTTCCATGTAGTGTATGTAGAGAAATGAGTGTCAGCTTTGATGGCAGGATCTAATATACAAAATCCCCCCATCAGGAAGGGTTTCTAACAATGTGGGAAAATGAGATGCAAATATTATTTGATGTCATGATCTTTGCTGCTGCTGGGAACAATAAAAATATTAGTATTTATGGCTCCTTTTTAAGAGTAGTTGGGAAAGCCCAGGATTTGACCCAGGGACACATCATGAGAACAAAATATGGTTGGCTGTAGGGACTACTTAGGTGCCTGCTGGTTTGCCATTTTAAGTTCCATGTAATAAAACAGGAAAGAATACATTGCCAAATATTATGATAATGTTTTATAAAATGGGTATAATGTTCAAAACATTTTATCTTATCACAAATATTTAAAAACTAAATATAATCAGAGACAATCAGACAAGGAAGAATAAAAAGATTGGACAAATATTCTGAGCAGAAGTTTTTCTGCTAATGGGAGTTTACAGGGAAAAAAATCTTTTAGTACTAATATTTGGGAAACAAGGCACACTGGGTAGTAGAAGAAAATGTTGGATGAAGGATGGTGCATAGTGCTGTATAAATTTCTCCAGAAAATCCAATTAGTGAGATCCTGAAAACATGGTTTAAAAAGAATGAATACAGTGACATGTTTAAGCCTTACAACAATGGAAAGAAGTGGTCAAAACATGTTATGATGTGGATAAAATAAAGAAGAGTAAATGAGAGAGTTTTTTCCCCGCATAATTAGAAACTTGTGGGCTACTTCCACATAAACTCACATTTCAAGGGGAGGAAATCAAACTGGCTTAATAAACTGACTTTAGTAGAAGTTGCTGCACATGCCTAAGCCAATACAGAACTCAGAGTAATTAAAAGCAAAGCTTTGGAAACAAAGGGCTATTTCCAAGGTTGAATTATATTTTTGCAGACATTTTGTTTGCTTTTGAAACATGAGGGTGTCAGTTTCCTTACAAAGCTACCTTTTGCAGTCAATTATGGTCAAGGACAAGATGCTATGTTCGTGCATTAGGTAATGTATGAAAAATCATATAAAGAACATTTGGCTTATATAGATCATAAAGTTTACATTCTGCTGTAGTTCCCAAAGAAATAGCGCTATCATGGTATGCTATTTTTTACAATTTAGCAATGGCTATTAGGCGAAAATACTGAATATTCAGTATAGTTGCTTTACCAAATTAAACAACATATTCAAACTACCCCACAATGTTTGAAACTTTTCATCACACTATTTTTCACATAATACTGTAAAATTGCAGCAATCAATCTACTTAGGAATTGCTACATAATTGAGCTCATCTCTCAGTGATTACATAGATATATCCATCTTGTTTTCTTGTCAATGAAATAGGAATGGTTTGGCATTGTCTGCTTCCCAAGCCAAATTTATATCTTTGGGATTTTTGAATGAGTTCCCAACCAAGTATTGGCCAGATCCAATCCTACTTTAATTCAGGAGTGGGATTCAAATTTTTTAACAACCAATTCTGTGGGCGTGGCTAAGTTGGTGGGTATGGCTTGGTGGTCGTGTTATTGGCTGGGTGTGGCCAACTCAATATCACTCACATCGAGGCACCATCTCTTTGCCTGGCCTTTCATGACTGTGGGGATGCTGCAACTGTTGTAAGTGTGAAAAATGGTCATAAGTCACTTTTTTCAGTGCCATTGTAACTTTGAATGGTCACTTCATACAAGCAAAGTACCAGCAAAGGAGGGGGGAAAAAACTCAAGAGAAGTTCCTGAGACAGATAGCCTAGTCCTGCCAAGAATGTAATAAGGGTTAATGGAGAGGCAGTTTCTGTAAGCAACACCAGAATGTTTCCTTCCTGCCTTCCTTACAGGATTAGGCCAGTAATTTCTTCTAACAACCGGTTCTCCAAACTGCTTAGAATGTTAACAACCGGTTCTAGAGAATAGGTGCAAACTGGTAGAATCCTACCCCTGCTTTAATTGTAACAGGGATATGAACAGTTTCTAAATATGGTATATAAATATATATATATATATATA